TGGCAGAGCGGAACAAGGCCCATTCGGACTCAATGTCCCCCTCCGCCCTCGGGACGCGGTCGAAGCTCTCCCGAAGGTAGGAGTTGAAGATCATCTTGACAGGTTCTTCCGCCAGGCGTTCCCAGCAGACCCTCACTGCTCGTTTGGGCCTGCCAGGTCTGCGCGGCGTCCTCCCCTGCCACCTGATCCAACTCACCACCAGGTGGTGATCAGTTGACAGCTCTGCTCCTCTCTTCACCCGAGTGTCCAGAACATATGGTCGCAGGTCAAATGACACGACTACAAAGTCAATCATTGACCTGCGACCTAGGCTGTCCTGGTGCCACGTGCACCGATGGACATCCTTATGCTCGAACATGGTGTTAGTTATGGCCAAACTGCAACCCGCACAGAAGTCCAATAACTGCACACCACTCGGGTTCAGATCGGGCAGGCCGTTCCTCCCAATCACGCCCCTCCAGGTCCTGCTGTCATTGCCCACGTGAGCGTTGAAGTCCCCCAGCAGAACAATGTTGCTATGCCTCCTGTGCCTCCTATTTAATTGTTGCATGGCACTTACTGTCACAATTATGCATTCCTGGTCACCTGCTCCTTTTTGCATGGTAGTCACCCAGCCCTCAGTCAGAACTTTTCCAATCACATTGGTTTCCAGTGCCTCCTTGCCAATCCTACCTGCCTGTTGACACATCTCCCGCTTCTGCCTGTCCACCATGCCCACCTCATCAAGGCACCTCAGTTCACCTGTTCCTGATTACACACTACCAGTATATATACACTAGGGTATTAACGAATTTGATTTTTTTCAGGTCGACTTATCTGTCAATAAGGTCGAAGTCGAGTCGACAAGTCATTTGATGACGTCATCACATTGACACGGCGGAGGAAAGTGAAATATCTCCACACATGTGATGTGTGTCTAGGCCCGAACATACTCGGGCGGAATGTACGCAGAACGGACTCTGCGGAGGTCCGCGTGGACTCAAAATGGACGTCCACAAGCCCTGTGTGCGCAAAGCTCAGATTTTACGACTGCGCGGACTCCGCTCCGCACACCAGTGACTGCTCGGCATGTATTTTTCACATCGCGGGGATTTTTCACATACATTTTTACAGAAAACTACAACGTGGAAGTGCGCTCGACTGTGAAAGCCCGAATGACTGCGGACATTCCTCGCGGAGTCTGCTCCACTTATAGTACGCCCGAGTATGTTCACTTCAAGGATAAAGTTTAAGCCAATCACAGGCAGCGATTGCATTCCGTACACAAGCACAGAGAGAGAGAGAGAGAGAGGGAAAAAACACACGACTTGTCGACTCCTCCCAGGGGGTGTCGACTTGTGCCACTGACATCGACACGTCGACAAATCGACTTTTCTGTTAATGCCCTAATATACACATAAGTCTCACAGACATGTGTCCAAATTGTTCTTCGCTACTCATGCAGGACTCTCAAGCACTTTTTTCCGGACTGATTTCCTGTTGCTGATCCTAGCTGCCTCTGACCTGCCTGTTTCATCTGATTCCAGCTAAACACACCACCCTTCTGGCCCGAACCTAGAGACCTGCTTCTGTGTCCTTGGTTCCTGTGGCTGCTTGGCATTACAGTTACAGTATTAGTGTTCCAGTCAGCTTACCTGTGGTTTCCTGTGGTCCAGAGACTTTCACAGTGTCGACATACTTACGTACTTAATCTGCCGGCTTTCCACTCTCTGTCTGCTTTCTGCATGCTCCCTTGAAGTTCATCTGTTTAGATTGTACTTACCAGGTTCCGGATTTTCTGCCTCTTCGACTACATCCCCTGCCTGCTCCTCCACATTACTATTGCCTGCTGTTGAACTGAACTGGGTGTTGTTAGGCTACTGCCCCTGCTCAGTCACCCGCCTCTCAGCCTGGTTCGGCCTGCCAAACCAGCCAGGCTTTAAGGACTTTGTGGAGAGACTTGATTGTAGTGTTCAACCGTTAACCTGTGCCGTTAACTTGCCCTGCTCTGTACCCACTGAGCCGTTACAGTGAACTTCATTACAAACTGTTCCTGGTCTTCTGTGTTGGTCTGAACACCACCTGTTAGACCTATATAGTTTACAGTAATAATAATAACTTTAATAATAACTTTATTTGTATCGCAGTCATCTAGGCAAGGTTACAAAGTGCTTCACAACAATATTACAATAATTAAAAAAAAGACAAAGTTAAGAGCTAGGAAAAATAGAGTGTACAGAGGCAAAAACAGAACAAAAGGAAAAAAAAAAACACAAAAGTTACAGATCACAAAAGTATTAATTAAAAGGTAAAGTTTTCCTATTAAAATGTGTTTTAAGCACTGATTTAAAAATGGGTAATGTGCTAGCAAACCTAATCTCTTCAGGCAGAGAATTCCAGAGGTTCGGGGCCTTGATGGCAAAAGCTCAATCACCTTTCGTTACTTGCCTTGACCCAGGGACGATGAGTGAGGGTAGGCTGGAGGATCTCAGGTCACAACTTGGGACTGGGGGCTTAACCATGTTGAGCTTTAAGTTATTAAGTTAATCTTAAAATCGATTCTGAAGTTAACTGGCAACCAGTGGAGGGAGGCGAGAATTGGAGTGATATGTGACCTACGATTTGTCCCAGTAAAAATATGAGCTGCAGCATCCTGCACTAGTTGAAGTCGAGCTACTGAAGATTTACTGAGGCATGTAAACAGTGCATTACAGTAGTTGATGCGTGAGAGTACAAAAGCATGAATTAGCCTTCCTAGGTCAGGAAAAGACACAGCTGATTTAATTTTTATAATATTTCGTAGGTGGAAGTAGCAGGATTTAATGAGATTATTGACATGTGGTTCAAAGCTCAATTGATAATCAAAAGTGATGCCTAAATTTCTCTTTGTAGATTTTATATTAGTTGCCAGAGGACCAATAAACAATTGTAATTTCCTTGCTAGGTGATTAGGGCAAAGATTATTACTTATGTCTTGTCTGAGTTTAGCTGCAGAAAATAACAAGTCATCCATGTCATGCAAGCAGAAATAATGTGGGATTCATACTTCTGTGATGAATGTGAGCATGTTGTATTTGTGGGGAAAGTGTGTCTAGATAAGTGCTTTGTCTGTGAATGCTGCGATAGTGAAGCCGATTTGTGTACATGTTTAATGTGTGTTTAATGTATGTTTTGGGTGTGTTTTGAATCAACTAAACTTTACAGCACTGCACAGAAACCCCGCCACTGACTAATGTTTTTGAGTTGTAACTGCAGAGTGGCATGGACACACCACCACACAAGTATAAATGCTCACAGCGGCGTAGGCCACGGCGTAGGCTTTGCCTAGAGCTGATGCACAAGGATAAATCCCGCTTGAGGGAACAGTTAACAGTGTGGAGCAAACTAGGGCCACCCATAGCCTCTTTAAGGAGAGGGGTGGGTAAAATATCAAGAGGGCTTGAAGCATGTGCATGCATGTGCACAATATCATTTAGCTCAGAAAGAGAACTGTTGAAAATGACTTAGCAGTTCAGGACAGCCAGGGTAATCAGCAATATCAGCAACAGCAGTGATGGAAGCTGCGATATTACTTAATGTCAGTGACCTTTTGCTTTAAATTTTTAATTTTTTTTAAATTAATTT